TTTTCTGGGATAGCAGTGGAATCAGATGTGGTAGCCAATATTTGCAACAATGCGTAAGTATTTCAATATATTTTTTGGTCTCACTCATCTAAGCATTCCAAAGCTGATTTTGAAGGGAGGTGAGAGTCATAGAGAAATGGAGAGATAAATACACATATTTGACGGTAACACACCAGATAGTGCCGATACTATCTTATGTTTTGTAAACCTGTCAACCACTTGTTGAATTAAATGGTCGAGAAATGCGATGAATGAATTTATTGTGTTGGTAATATATACGACATATAAATATTAGAGGGTTATAACTGCCTTCCGATTATACGTGGCGTAAGCAGTATACTCCCACTTTCTTCGAGCAACACCTTTGCTTCTTTATAAAGATGGAGATACTCTTGGTCAACTTTATATTTCAAAAGTTGTAAAAAACATTAAAAACAAACGTCCACATGGCTTAATCCTGTAATAAGATTTGTGTTAATTATCTGCAGATGCCTTGATAGCTATATTATATAGCTCATGACTTTCTAAAGAATCACTAGGCGCATAACAAAATGCGAAGATCGAATCGCATTAAGCATTAGGACAGTTCGTTGCGATGTTTCTTTATCCTGGCTTTGATTCTTCGAGAGCATCCACAATCGCTAAATAAATTTCCTCGAGTTTTATGATGGCTTCGTGCTTGAACTCACCGTGTTTCGTACATCACAGGTAGGCTTTTTTGACAATCAGCCGGTAACAGATCCTGATTTTTTCCTTTCAGAACGGCAATGCATTGAGCCGAATGTCTAAAGCAGGAACCAACAAACTGCACGATCCCAATGCGATACCGCACATCTGCTTGTGAACATAAGTCAGCAATAGCAAGGTTGAGAGAATGTATACTACAAATGTACATAAAGAGCAAGAGGACATCCTTGACTCATATATGCTTGGGCATCCTGGAAATAGCCATTCATAGCGACGGCCCCATCGTAATTTTGACCAATCAGATGAGAACATTCCAATCCTTGCTTGTTCAGAGCTCTAATTATGAGATTTGCAAGACCGAATCCCAACAACATTTGGTATAGAAACTGGTCATGACAGAGATAACGATAAATAACCTTATTATTACTTTTGAAAGAAACATATTGAGATGGATATTAGGACTCATCTTCGAGAATGGTATGTGTGGTGAATGAGGTTCAACCACAAGTTATATTAATATTACAAACGACAAGTTATATATCAATATTACAAAGAACTTTCTATAGCAAATCATGCAAAAATACAAATATTGTGCTGGGAGATCACCTTATAAGAATGGATAATAACAGAACATCTAGTAGAACGCTTAGTGGAACTATGGTGCGACATAGGCTAGTAGGAAGACCAAGGAAGAGGTGGATAGAAGAAGTGAGCTTTGCACTTTCCCACTAAGTCAGCAATTACAAATATTATTCATTATATTTTTATAATTCATTACATTTAAGTATTTGTAACACGTAATTTTGTATTTTTGTAACAAATTAATTTTTTAAAAAATCAAAAAAGTGTTTCGTGATATAATATATTATATATATATATATATATATATATATATATATATATATATATATATATATATATATATATATATATGTATATATATGTATATATGTATATATATATATATATTATATATATATATATAATATATATATATATATATATTATATATGATAGATAGATAGAAAAGAGACTGGATCTTGTCATGTCAAAAGTTGGAATACCTATACTTAAAAACATCTGCTCAACTTTATGTTTTTTAACATCTTTTTAATCAACATATCGCAAGCACGGCGAAACTTGCTCCATATATGCGTAATGTCAGAGAAAATCGCAAAAATTTAGCTTCCTTTTCCAGAAGGGCATCCTTCTGGAAAGTTACCAAATGCTTAAAACGATTTGGCTGCGTACAGCAACAGTGCTCCAAGATTACCAATAGTCTAAGGTCGTTATTCAAACTCTGGTGTAATTTGGATCCGTCCAATCAGTTTTACCACTTAGTATACCTTGTTGCGGCAAAAATTATTCCGTTTACGATATTGACTAGATCCTTTCGGTTTTCCTGTTGCTGTTTCTTTCTTTCAAAAGGCAATTGCTTATCGACTGAAAAAGCTGTTAGGCCTTTTAATTGTATAAATATTAATATCTTCACTTGAGGGGTGGGGGGGGGGGGGGGGGGTTGGAGTTTGAACCCCCCAAAACTCCTCCTGGTTATGCCCGTATTAGAAGTTGGACAAAACAACTAAGAGCCGTCTAAAGTCAATAAAGGACTTCGACCAAGATGCTTTCTATAAACCAAACCTAATTTAAACTTTAAATAGATTATGAAACGCTAAAATATTGGGAACAAAAAATGTGGAAAGATGGAGGTAAAAACTGTCAATACCATATTCAAAGCATTTTATTTTGCCAATGATCAAATAATTTTAGAAGACAACGACAGCATCTTCAACCTGATAAAACAACTGAAACAAGAATTTGGAAGTTAATTTATGATATAACACAATACATGGTCATTGGAAACACCACAGAAATCCTAAAAGTGAATAACAACTCAATAAAATAAACAAATGAGTATAAATACTTGGGAGTAACTTTAATAATTCCATGATCAGAAGAAACAGTATAATCATATTTCCAGGAGGATGTTGTAGGTGTTTTCTTTGTGATACCAGTAATTTTTCTATAAAAGATTAAAAATCTTATGAAGTTATATAATGGTATCTGCATTTTCTTTTGAAGTTTGTCAGTTTATTTTCTTATTTCATAGCATAGACCAGTCATGCTATAATAAGCCCCTTTTATATCAAGAAATACTGAAGCCATTGTGATAAAAACACATATTCACCAGACTCAGAATTTTTTTAAAACTATACTGATTTTGAGAAAAGACCTTTATACTATTTAACCATAATTAAAATATGTTTCCTAAAATCATTTCAAATAATTTTAATATGCTTGGTAGAAAATTAAGCAGTCTATACAATTCACTTTCCAGATTTGTATAGGGTTTCAGAATATGCACAATGATAATGTTTTTAAATGCTTCAATACTTTAAGTATGTGTTCAAATCTCATCAGTATTTGAATCAAAGCATATGTACTGAATGCGATGATACCCAGATGTATTTTTCATCTTGTGTAGTGCAAAATCAGTTTCTTTTAAATGAATGGACTATAAAAATATATGGACATTTTTCTTATTTTGTTCTCATTTTTGGTATACGCTTCATATTGTTAAATACCATTGGTGAAATTATTTTATCGAAAAATGATTTTACCATTAGAGTTTCTTAGTAGCTGTAGATTTTTTTTCTATAAAACATTATATTCAACATGTTTCACTATTTTTACAAGCTTGTAACAGTCATATTTTCTCTACCAGTCCTCCATTTTCATAGAATTTCAACTAAACAAAACAATTTAACAACACAGTATTTTGTTTTAAAGTTCCTTAAACTGTTATCTGCACGGTCCACATTAGCAATAAATCTATAAGTGCGAAATAAATAAGAAAAAAGATTATTAGGTATTTTAAATATAAACACATGTATAAAACTTTATTATAATAAAAATTATTGTAAATACATTATATAATCAAATTATACAAATATTTTCATAGTACTTTCAATATCATTCCTACAAATTGGACATGTAGTATTGTACAACTGTAATTGAGCATTGCACTCCATGCACATGCATACATGCTTACATGGCAGTACCAGAATACATTTATTACGCTCTTGGCATATTACACAATACCTTTCATCAACGGCATTATCATTTTTATTTGGCATATTTGGTACAGCTTCTGGAACAAAACTTCTTCTAATCTGAGGTCTTCTGTTCAAAGGTAGCCTAAGATAATTTCTTTCATTTCTAATAGTTTGCCTTTGGACTACAGGTGGTACAAATGGTCTTCTAAATCTACTTAGTAAATTTAAATATACACGTCTGGAATATAGATATATTGCTACATTAAACTGTGTGATTACATATATTAGACATCCCGCAATAATCAAACCTACTGCAGATTCCACAGGAACATCAGTCACAAAAACATAAATATTCCTTAAGCAATCATTTAAACCTATCACAGTGTTTACTATTGTGTCGTAAATATTTTGTAGAACACTTTTTATGGCACTAGCAAATAAATTGAGTAAACTGATTATTGAAAATGGAATTAATGTGATTACAAACCATACTCCAGCTCCAAACAACACTATAAAATGCTTAATTAATTGAAATAGTGCAATAATTAACGTATAAAAACTAAATGTAGAGTCGATTAATAATTCATATGTCCTATATATCACAGAAATTAATTTATAAACAATGTTAGTGACGCCGAGAATTACTGATGAAAATCCAAAGCTTATTGTTTCCCATATTTGTCCTAAAATATCTGCAGTCACTTGAATTCCTTGAAGAATATCTTGCAAAAAACACCGTAAAGGATTCAAATATAATAACAAACAGGACACTGATATTCTTCAGTACGATATTTAAATTACTTAATAGGCAGTTCAAAATGAACACTAAAAATTGACCAGTTTTAAAACTGAAGTACAGTCCATAATTGATTATTGTTTTAACAAGATTAATGGTCCCAATAACTTCTTCCAACATTTTCTTTTTCTCACAGCATATTTGGGTACTTATCGGTTAATCGGTTTGAAAAATTCGTTATTTTCATATATAAAAGAATGAGGTTAAGGCCGGTCATCGGTCTTCCTCTTTCAGTCCACATCATGGAAAACAATTGGTCAATTTATATTATGGTTAGATCAGTAAAAATTCATTTTATCAATATATGATCAAGAATAAGAATATATTAACAAATGTAGGTATATTTAAACAAGAATAAAAGCATTAGTGGCTCCAGATCCATATATTAAAAGTCTAAACACTTTCATAATAAGCCGAATTGCCAGAAGAATTGTCAAATAGGCTTAACCTAAAGTTGTAGCGATTTTAACGACTACTGACATAAGGCATCGTTTCCCTTGAAACGTCCAAATTACATCATTTTCAAAAAGTTAACGATCGTTTTGGTCGCAACCACATTAAGTTTAATAAAAATCAAGTATTGTCAATTTTAATCTATTGATATTATAAAAATATACACAATGTCTGCTTTTAATGTTGATTCAATCGCCGCTATTTTGGAAAATGCCCGTGTTAGTGATAGTGGTGTTAGTTTTGCTGGAAAATCTCTAAAATTAAACACGGAAGAAGATGGTAAGTAAAAATGTGATTGTGATAACAAATCGACTAACGTATATCATTTATAGCCAAACAAGTTACGAAAGAAATTGATGGTTGCTCCAACCTCCAATTTCTTAATATGGAAGGCAATACACTTGGAGTAGATGCTTCCAAAGAAATTGCCAAATCTTTAGAAAAGCACCCTGAGTTTAGACGGGCCTTATGGAAGGATATGTTTACAGGCAGAATGAAAACTGAAATTCCAAAAGCACTGGTAAAGAATAATAATAACTAATTATCAATAAAATGCATTAGGCTATTACCAATACACCAATTATCATTAATTTTCAATACACCTAATACATTAATCATTATTATTATTAATTATCAATACACCTGTTAAGAATTTATGTTTTATGTAATTTATAATTAACATTTTGGACTGAATAATGTAGTACAACTGAATGAAGATGTTGAATAATTTATATCTTTTCTTATCTGTTTTTGAATTTTTAGCAATATTTAGGAGATGGTTTGGTAACAGCAGGAGCTCGCCTTACAGAACTTGATCTCAGTGACAATGCTTTTGGACCAATTGGAGTGGAAGGTTTAGCATCACTAATTAGAAGTTCCTCCTGCTTTGCTCTTGAAGAATTGCGTCTCAACAATAATGGATTAGGAATAACAGGTGGAAAGTTATTGGCTTCTGCTCTCACTGATTTGTTACCAATATAGTAAAAAAAATGGAAAGCCTTTGGCCCTTAAAGTTTTTATTGCTGGTAGAAATCGTCTTGAAAATGATGGGGCTAAGGCACTTGCTGCAGTATTCAAGGTAATAATTCTGTAGTAAATTTTTCCTATAGTTTTTCTTGCATGTTATTCTTGGTTGTGCACATGATGGTCCCACTACTATTTCTTACTATATTTTAAGGTAACTTATTTCAAACATTTTTGCAGCTAATAGGAACTTTAGAAGAAATAGCTATGCCTCAAATGGAATCTACCATCAAGGTATATCAGCACTTTCTGAAGCCTTTGCAGTAAACACAAATCTTCAAATTCTCAACTTAAATGACAACACCATTGGCCCAAAAGGTGCAGAAGCAATTGCAGCAGCTCTAGTCAACAACCAAAAACTAAGAGAGCTCAACTTTGGTGATTGTTTATTAAAAACAAAAGGTGCTATGCTGTTGAGTGATGCACTAAAAGATTCTCATATTAGTTTGGAAGAGGTAAATTTGGGATTTAATGAAATAAAGAAACAAGGAGGATTGGAAATTGTAGATGCAATGGCTAATAAAAGTAAATTAAAGACTCTGATTATTGATGGTAATCAATTTGGTACGAAAGGAAAAGAACTGATTGAAAGTAAATTAAAAGAAATTGGTAAGTAAAATACAGATATATAGCCTTTTATTTATTTTTTTCCTTTTTGTCCTCACTTTTTTCTATATATGTTTCTCTTTCCCTCATTTGATTATTTTATTTATTTTCCTTCTCCATCACATTCCTCTATCACTTCTCTTTCTTGCTTTCTAGATTAGGACCTATACTCTTAGATATATTTGCCATTATTGGTCAAATCCCTGATAAAGTAATTACTATTTAAATGGGAATAAGCCACAATTAAAGGTTAAAGTAAGTTTATTGACATTTCAATTTCCACTTCAGAAATCATTCTCAAAATACAAACAGTAAATTAAACAAATTTTGTTTTTTTGTTAGTTGGTGAAAAATTCTTCTAATAATTTAATTTTATCTGACTCATTTATATTGACAATTCAGACATACATTATATACTTTAAAGTAGACAACTTTAAAATGATATTTCCAACATTGTTGAGTGGCATTCCTCGGACGTCTTTACTTGTAAGATAGTTCATTTGATTACATGAAATCAACTTTAACTTGAGAATATCCAGCAGAAAAAATCATAGCCTGTAATTCGTCTTTAAAAAGACAATCACATGCCATGATGACAGTAAATTATTACTACAAAAAGAAACGGATGGTAAAAAGAAAAAAAATCAAGGAAGCGGCTCTAATTATGCTAAATGAGACCAATTGTGTCACATAATGCAGTAGGATCTGGTTAAGCATATTAAAAGAGGAAGTTATTAAAAGGAAAATACCATATAACAATCATATAAAATCAGAATTTGGTGTTTATTGAAAGTAAACTAAATGTATGACCAAATACTTACCATGTCAGGATAATATTATGATGTTTTTCATGGTTTTTCTTTCATAATTTACTAGGGAATCACTAACAGGAGAATTTTACTGTCATCATGGCATGTGGTTGTCTTTTTAAAGAGGAATTACATACTATGATTTTTTCTGATGGATATTCTTACATTAAAGTTGATTTCATGTAATCGAATGAACTATCTTAGAAGTAAAGTCGTCCCAGGAACACAACTCAACAATATCGGCAATATCATTTTAAAGTCGTCTACTTTAAAATTTATAATGTATATCTGAATTGTCAATATAAATGAGTCAGATTTTTCACCAAGTAACAAAAAAACAAAATTTGTTTAATTTACTGTTTGTATTTTGAGAACGATTTCTGAAGTGGAAATTGAAACATCAATAAACTTACTTTAATCTTTAATTGTGGCTTATTCCCATTTAAATAGTAATTACTTGCCACATATATATATATATATATATATATATATATATATATATATATATATATATACAGATTTGGAAAAAAAATTACGGAACATAGGATTTTTAATACAGCTCAAATCCTTTGATGTGCAATTAACCAGTGTAAACTTCAATACAACGTCGCGATGCTCCATAATTAATTCATTTGTTCGACTGGAGTCTCAATTCAGGCCGCGATGCTGCCAGTGTAAGTGTAAAAACGGAACACACCTAGATCTCATGTCAATTCAACGAAAACGTACTTATTTATAAATGTAGATATGAAAATATTTTATAACTAAAAAAATGGTTGTTTTATTGCCAAAACGGCTTGAAAAAAAAAGTTGATTTCTAAAATTAAAAATAAAAAGGAATTTTAAAAATAAAATAATTATATTACACTCTTTTTAATTTGAAATTATAAACAATATTTGGAATAATAAATGTATTTAAGTATAAATTTTATAACTCAAATAATACCTAATGAACACAAACAAAATTGATGTTAATAAAACATTATTTATTATCTGCACAAAAGCGGACTTTCAGGAAAAATCGGTTGACGGAGCAACACTGTCGGCGTCTACAAACCGCTGAGGAGAAGTAATCCAGTGGAACAAATAAATTAGTTACAAAACATCGCGACGTTATAAAGAAATTTACACTGGTCAATTGCAACGCAGAGAATCTTAGTATTTGTATTAAAAATCCTATGTTCCGGATTTAAAATTCCAAATGTGTATATATATATATATATATAATATATATATATATTATATATATATATATATATATATTATATATATATATATGCCACAAGATATCTTTGATGGTCTATCTATTTCATTTTCTATCTTTCTTGTTCTTTTTCCCTTCACATGGTAAATTGTCTTTGACACCTTCAGCTCAGTCCATTTAATTTTCTATTTTGCCTTTCCTTTCTCCTTTAATATTTTTAACATATCTCCAACCTTTCCAGTTCAGTTCTTAATTTGCTTTTCTGTTTTCTCATTTTGTTTTCTATTGTTTTCTTTCCATCTCATCTCCTTTCCATTTTCATATATTTTCCTTTTTATCTTTCTCTACTTTTATCTCAATTGTATTGTTTTCTTTTTCTTCTGTTCTGTTTCTTTCCTTCTTTTAATCCCTCTTTTATCATTCTATCTGCTAGTGATATTTTTTTATACTTATATGTCCTTTTCCTAGTTTCATACTATCCAAAAGAAATACTTACATTTCCTATTAATCTGTGTTTGTGATGCAGGAAAATTCAATGTCCTTGGCAGTTTAGAAGACAATGAATCAGAGGATGAAAGTGAAGATGAAGATGTAGATGAAGATGTAGAGGATGAGGAGGAAGAGGAAGAATGTAGCGAAGAAGGTGAAACTGAAAATGACGAAGAAAAATCAGATACAAATGAAGATGTAATAGCTGTTCCTTCTCCTTTAAAACAAAACTTCACTATTAGAGAATTTATTGAAACACCAAGTGCTAGTAATTTTCTTTCTTTAGGATCCAACAGGATAGATACTATTGTTAAGGAGGCAAAGGTAATATTGGTATAATAATTTGTGTTTGTAGTTGTATTAATATTATATTTACTAAAAGTCAGCCAACACCTATCCAGCAAAGTCCATTTCCAACAATTAAAATACTTTAAACATGTTATGAGAGCAGACAGAAAACATAGAAAGAATTATTATTCAAGGAAAGGTAGAAAGCTTAAGATCACGAGAAAAATCCCCAACAATATAGATAAATCAAATTACAGGAATATGCAAAAAACCTATGCATAAGTTAAAAGAAATGATCAAAGACAGAGATCTTTGGAAGCAGAGATACAAGACATCACAATGACTACTACACTTCCTATGGGGGGTCAGGATTAAAGAGAGAGAGAAAGCTAGAGAATTTGTATTTTGTATAAGTTATCATTTTTTGAATAAAAGAAAACATGTGGGTTAAGCGTATATACTCCACACCTCTTCTTTTGGACATTTTCTTAAGTCTGGTAAAGATGTGAGTGGTATTTTCCAATAATTGATTGACTTTTTGGCAACTAGTGAAGTTCAATTGAAGGACTTGGTGCAACCACTGTCCACATACACATTGCATATATTTAAGGAAAATGGAAAATTCTGTCATTTAGTCATAGTTGAAATAATGTGAATTTTTTATTTTGCATTTGTGCTATAACCAAAAACTCATCTTTTCTAACAATATGTATGTATATGTTCACTTTGTTTTTTTTTTGAAAATTGATGTCAAATGTTGCACATATATGGTTATTGCCTCCAGACTAAGAAATATTTTTGAAAAAATATTAGAAATGCTGTGTTTTTGCAAAAATCTTCTTTATTGGGTATAACAGAATTGTCATCAGCAGAATCATATATTAATAATCTATTTCGATAAAGTAATAGTGTTTTTAACCACAGAGGATTTTTAGAAAAAGGCTCGAGATATGTTTTGAAATCAAAAACCATGTCCTGTGTTACACATTGCACAGTGAACTTTTTACCACAGCTTTCAACTAACGAATACCATTCTTCTGATAAACACACAATCTCTTTCTTACGCTTCTTCTTTTCAATTTGTTCAAAATCTAGGTCACACTTGCAACTCACAAGTTGAACATTTTTGTTTTGCCCCCGCAGTTGTCATCAAATATATGCAGAACACTACCAGATACTACTTTTGTATGAAATGGCACAAAAACGATACAGTTTCTATGGACCCTTTCTTTATAACTCTTTCGTCTTATAAATGATTTATTATTGGAACAAGAGTAAAAAAGCTGATTGTAATCCCAGATCTGTCTAGCGTAAAATATTTCCCCCATAGTCAAAACAGTCTCCACAGTTTTGTTGATTCGTACCTTTTCAGTTTTTTCTTTCAAATCATCGTAGAATGCTTGGGTTTTCCAAAGATAATTTTTTTTTTTAACGTTCAGCTGGTGCTTAAGTTAGTTCATAGAAGCAGCATCAAGTTGTATTTTGAACAGATCACAAGTAGCACAAGTGTGATCTGGGAAAAACGAATGACAAATTAAAATGTTCTGTGAAATACCTGTAATAGTAATCATACATAACTGTACGTTTTATTTTTTTCTTTTTAACAGGCGATATTGCTCGGGATAATATTTTTTCAAATACAGTTTGTATATTTTTCAGACATTTAACTATGCTGATAGATATTTCTGTTTATTTCATTTCGAGAATAGTGTGATTCACTGACATGAAAATTCCTGATGTGCTCCTCAATTTGTTTTCACAATATTTTCATGCTTTTTATTTGGTCGATTATGTTGTTTACCACAGGCATCCTTTTGAACTACACACCAAAAGCTCTTGACTGTGCAATTTTCAATACTTTTGATTTGTGAACCCCATGTAAGTTATAAAATTATGAGCAGCATATTTTTACACATTTTGTACCCATTTTAACACTATAGCACTAAGAATACTTCTTCGTTTCATGAACGCTAGTTTTTCTCCTCATAGAGATTTTTCTTACATCTATGAGCGACCCTAAGGAACTATCTTTAATGTTCTTATCTCATCTCCCATTGCATAAAATGCTTTCTCCATTTCCGTTAGTTTTTCAATGCACTGGATATGACACTCACATCTAGACCCTTGTTTTTTTGCTTCAATAGTTTTACCCCTACTACTTTCCCATAATTTCTTTGCAGTTTTCTACTAATTCTTTTCCAAGCTTTGGGAGTACGCTTGCGTTTCTTAGTCCTTTCTTTTAAGCTCGTTTCTGCACTTTCATCTACAATAAACATAGATAGAAAACTAAACTAAATCACTTACCTTCATCAGTTGTATTGCTTGAGTTATCGTTTGATTCATTTTCAGTTACGTGCTTTGGAATACATCCCGCTTATAATACATCCCCGATTTAAACCTAATACGTTCTTTGTTATCGTCGTATAGATCATCTTTCTCTGTAACAGAACCGACGTTGTTTAATGATTTATTATAATACTTTTGCTTCTTTGTTGCCACTTACTTCTTCCATTATATAATGTAGGTCAGCATCGCTGTTATCGGAGTCATGGTATGTATCACTTTCACTGGAAAACTCAGTAAAACTAGTCATTTTCGCGGAGCGATATACACACTGCACTTTACAAACGAGGAAAATATGAGGTAATACCTGTCTACCTTAGGAGCAATAACTGGTCATATGCATCACGTGGCCGGCTATTGCTCTCAATACAATCGATTCTAAGGACTATGCTATTAACATTTTTGGTGCAATAACCGTCCACGTTGTTTCAACAAAAGTGGTCTTTGACAGTTGTTGCACTAAGTCCTTCAATTGATTCAAATCTTATTTTTTTATTTACAGTAAATGTTGGAACCATGTCACATCTATCATAAATACAAAAAGTGGTTCTTAAAATGTAAAATAAGCCATTTTCATCTTTCTGAGATGGCTACGCTCATAGCTACTTATATTTCATGCACTCTTGATCGTACCGACATATTTGTGTATTTTTTGACAATTTGTTTGTAAATCTCACTAGTAAAGTGAGTTACACAATCGATATATGACCAGTTTTAAAATCTGTGAACAATTTTTGTTGCTGATAACTAAAATTATCCATTTATGCTGTTAATACCTTAGATATCAAATAAGTATACACATTCACCAGGTTAAAATAAATTTCTGATAGCAACATACTTACCATCCCGAATGAAGATTTTGTGATGTAATGGATTTAAAGTTTATTAATAAAAAACATACTCATTGTGATTTTCTAGGCAACAACTTTTTAATGACCCTTAGTCCGTAGTACACAGTATTTTTTATAATTTCAATATGATCTACATTTTCTAGAAAAACGAGGATATATCTATTGATGAATATATAAGGATAATGATGAAGGTATCTGCATTAAGTGACAATACAAAATCAGAAGTAGCAGATAGTTCAACAGAATGTTCTGAAAGATTGTATAAAGAGTTATTCAGTTGGCAGAAAAATCTGACAAACTTTCGATTGTCAATAATTCAATTCTAGTCAGCCTTGGATTGATTAAGGTAAATATCCATATATACTTGGGATCCTGGGTCTCTATCTATTTTTCATCGCTTAAAGCAAAAGAAAGTTATGAAAATATAAGATAATCTGTAGATTCAATTAATTCAAAATTGTTTTATTTTATTTTTTCAGAGCGAAGACAAACAGTTCAAACCGACTTGGAATATAGAAGGTTGTTTGAAGGTTCTCAAACACATTTCGAATAAGAATTTTATGCCTGAAAGTACAAAAAATACTCTGAGTGTGTTCATGAAGAGGCAAGTAAACACAAACGGTGCCGATACGATTCCTATTTAATCCATGAAACCTTTATTTTAGGGATATCGACTGTGGTACTGAACCTTTAACAACCAAAAAAGAGCTTCTTGCGAGTTTATCCTAATTATTTATTTTAATACATTTGTATATAATGAAAAATATAGTTTTTATTTTCCTAATGTCCAAACATTTTTGGTTTTATTTGATTTTTAAAAAGTGGTGCAATCAGTCTTGACATATACGTGTGATAACTGAGTAAGTCGGTAGAAATTGGCGTAATAAAGAGACATCCAAAAGTAAAATAAGGGAAACCAAATGTAATATAATAAGGCATGAAGTGTTGAACGAAGGAGCTCTTCGACCACGAAAGAGGAAACCTACAGACATATCTTTCGAGGACAGAGAAACAAGTATAGAAACTACAAAGGAAGAAATATTGTATGCACTAAAGAACACCAGAAACGGAAAAAGCCCTGGGCCAGATCAACTGCCTATTGATATCCTTAACACGTTCGCTGCCGAATATATTTTCCAAATCAACGCCTCGGTAAGCCAACCATTCCTTTTTTTAAGTGCGCTTATGAGCCACCATATAACGAATGTGTTGGCCCCATCAGGAAAACGCGGCCCAGTGAACCGTACTAATCCATCAGTACATCGTAATCAGCCGTACATCGCAGTAAAGAAAACCTAACATATATAAACGAATACGCATTGTATATTGTTCTTGTTGATTGTTTTTCATTTCAATAAATTGAAAGAATAAATTGCTGTAAGTATTAAATAACGTTTAAAGTACAATATTTTTACAGCATATAGTGTAATGACGATGATTGACCATTCGAAGCTTTTGATAGTGAGTACCTGTGTAGTTCAGAAGAAGAATCAGAAGAAACGGTGGAAAATGTACAAAAGTTTTTACAGAGAAAAAAAAATTAAATTAAATTCACAACCTACTTGTCATATTCACGATAATATCAATCCAGGATAGAACTTGAATTCAATGCATGATCCAGAACAACCTAATCGTAATCTTCAAGGTAATGTTATCGTTCCAGGACTAAACTTAAATTTAATATTTGATCCAGAACCGAACTTAGATCCACAACGTATTGAAGATCCAGTACCGAATATAGAACCAAATTGGTTTCCAGTAGTAGATAATTATAAGCTAATAGCACCTTTTTCTATTCAGGAGTAAATGATGAATTGGCTGCAATGTTGGCAAATGGTACGCCTGGAGACAGAGCAATTAGTCTGATTTGTAACCAAACAAATATATATGCAACTCTGTCTACTGGCTGCAGACGCAACACCCAGCTCTCGCTTACGTGACTCCAGCGACAAATATTGAAATTAGAAAATTTTTAGGACTGGTTGCCTGGATTGGTTTAGTGAAATTGCTAAGACTATTATAGTAACGATAACCTGATCATAATAATTTTGCAAAGAATGTAATGTCTAGAAATCCATTCGAGATGCTGTTAAGGATGTATCACTTTAATGATAATAGATACAAGTGATAAACTGTATAATTTAAAGTAACTTGTCGACATTCTGACTGCAAATTTTAAGTCTTTATAAGTGCCGGAAGAATATGTCTGCATCGATGAAACCCTATTACCCTTTAGGGGACGCTTGGGGTTTAAACAGTACATTAAGTCAAAAAGACACAGATATGGCGTAACAATTTTTAAAGTATGTTCTGGATCTGGATATACTTACAATTTCAAAGTATATGCAGGGAAAGAAAATAGTTCTAACGTCACTCCAGAAAGCGTTGTACTGTATCTTATGAAGGATTTAGTACACGAAGGAAGAACGCTGATAACCGACAATTGGTATACAAGTTTACCGCTAGCAAAAAAAATCTCCGTCGATACACACCTGATAGGAACTGTTCGAAAAAAATCGAAAATATTTACCCCAAGAAGTAGTAGCTGCAAAATTAAATAAAGGGCAGATTGCTTCTATGGAAAATGATGATGGAGTGACCATTACGAACTGGAAAGACAAAAGAAATATTTACATGCTTTCTACTAAACACGACAATGAAATGGTCGAAGTATCTTGTAATCGACAAACTAAACTGAAGCCCAAGGTGGTAATACATTACAATAAAGGCAAAGTGGCAGTAGACTTATCTGACCAAATGGGAGCGTATTCCAATCCCCTTAAGATAAGCGTAAAATGGTTTAAAAAAGTGGGGTTTGAATTATTATTAAATATATCAGTTATAAATTCTTTTTTAATATATAAGCTTGTAACAAATAATAACTTGTCGGTAACAGATTTTAAAAAACAAATAGTGAAAGATCTAGTTACTTATAATGAAACCACCACAGTATCATGAAGAGTGTCAAATAATCATCATTAGCTTGAACAGAAGGCAGACGGAAGTAAACATCAGCGAAGGAAGATTTGCAAGAACTGCTACAAAAAAGTCTACGTCAGTATGCTATGAATAAAACTACAAACGTATTCTTATTGGAAATAGACATCTTTTGCAAAAGCTGTTACAAGGAACCTTTTCTGTGTATAGGTTGTTTTAATGAATTACATAGAACTTCAATAACTTTTTTATTATATAATAAAGATTCGAATTTAGGTGGTCAAGGATTCCGTCATTGCAATTGTAGTGGCCAATGCAACTCAAATCGCTGCAAATGTAAAAAGAAAGTGTTCTGTGTAATTTTAAGTGCACATGAACCTGTCCTGCAAAAATAAGTAATTATAGTCTGGTAACTTACAGCACCAACATCAACTCATCCTGACGAAGAGGTAGAACAATTTTACGAAGATGTGCACAGAGCCATAAGAGAGAACACTGCTCATTACACTGTCATAGGTGGTGATTTCAACGCAAACATGGGAACACAGTTAGATGCATCGGAAATATCTTTGGGAAATTTCGGAAGTCCGGGTAAAAATGAGAGAGGTGAAATGCTTTTGTCATTTCTACTAGAGAGTACCTAATCTTTATCAAATGAATAGCTTTTTCTACAAGAAGCTACACATACGTTAGACATGGAGGAGCCCAGACGAAAATACCCGCAACGAAATAGATTACTTTATTACAGATTAAAAATACATATTTAAAGATGTGACCGTTCTTAATAGATTCTCGACAAACTCTGACCATAGGATGGTTAGAGCTACCATTAAGATAACCACTCACTTATATAGAAGTCATACATTAAAAAAAAAACTCTCACTGGACACGCCCACAAGACGAAACAGCATTTGGGGACTACACCAAACGATGTCGGTGAGTTGCACAAACAAATAGTTGATACACTTAAACTGGCATAAGCATGTTTTTGCCCAAAGACTAAACGAGATCAAAAGATCACTTTAGAAACATAACTCAAAATAACAGAAAGAAGACAGTTACAAAGTGAAAGGGACATTGACCCACAAACTATTCGG